CTAGACTGGAAATAAGCAAGGGATGAAGAAACCTTTGTCAAACAAGAAATGGGGGATGAAATAAATACTTCAGGTGGGAGCATGGTGGTAATCTTTAGGAACATGGAGAAGGATGTTGGAGGTTACTCTGCTAGACTCAGCCTTCCTTGATTCAAATTCCAACTCCACCATTTATTTGCTGACTGACCTACAGAAAGTTAACCCCTTAGGGTTTCAGTTCCTCATCCACAAATGTATTCAATATATATATAAATACACATCAGTTCCTCCTTATTGTGTTGGTATGTGTGTTAAATGGTTTAAAAATGGGGAATGTGCTTATTATTAATAGCTCACCTGACTCACAGCTGGTACTTAATAACTATAATTATGTGGAATAGAAATTTGTACCTTAGAGCCTGAGACCAGTGGAGAGGGGATATGAAGAGGCAGACTCTGGCTCAATTTATGAAATGTTTTAATAACTAACACCATACCTAATATGTAGTTCATGCCCAATAAATACTGAATGAATGGTTAAGAAAAATAATGAAGAAACATTTCAGAGAATGGAATGATGGGCCTCAGGATGTCATACATTTTCTGTCACTGTACCCTCTCAACAGATGTGTGAAAGTTCATTTTATGTCAGTTTGACTGGGCCACCAGGTGCCCAGATATTCGGTTAAACATTATTTCTGGTTGTGTCTGTAAGAGTGTTTCAGGATGAGATCAATATTTGATTTAGTAGACTTAGTAAAGCATTTTGCCCTCCCCAATGTGGGTGGGCCCCAGCCAATCCGCTGAAGGCCTGAATAGAATAAAAGGCTGAGATATTGGTCCTTCTTTGCCTTCAAACTCAGTCTCAGACTGGAATTTATACCATCAGCTCTCCTTGTTCTCACACTCAGACTTGTACTAGAACTTAAATAGTTGGCTTTCCTGGATCTGGACTTCTCCACCTCCATAGTCTCATGATCAAATTACTGATAATAAATAAATACACACACAAATATGTATCTGTGGAGTCAACTGGGAGAATCAAGATGGCAAAGGAGTGAATGGAAGTCACACTGATCTCCTCCCAGGACCAACCTGGAATTACAACTAAATTGTGGAGAAATCACCTGGAACAAACAACTGAACAAGAGCGAGAGAGGAGCCTTGTAACCTCGGAGACAGAAGAATCAGCTTTAGCACAATCTAACTGGTAAGGAGTGCGTAGAGACCCGAGAAGGCGGGCTGGGCACCCATGGGTGGCAGCACCAGAAGGATATTGAAATGGCCAGTGGGATCCCCCTGAGAAGAGCAGAGTCTAAGCCAAAAGCGGGGATCTCTAGCCCACAGCACCAGAGCCCAAAAAGTACACAGAAAACATCCAGCTGCGAAAAGAAGCAGGGTTGCTCTCTACAAGAGACAGAGCCTTCTATAGGGCCAACGCAAAATTTTTATTTGCAGCCACTTACCCTGGTCTCTGGCAAAGGCAGGGAAAAAGTGGGCTAGAAACACCTGAGGAGAGACTGGGGAGGGAGGCTTTGGGGAGAGAACTGAGAGAGTAGCTGACCAGATCTCGGTGCTGACTCATCCCCCATGTGGCAGCAGCCATTTTGCTCAGGAAGAGGCCACTCACCCTGAGCTGCACCAGCATCAAAGAACCCAACAGCCCCGCCCCCAGGTGGTATTCCACCCCACCTTGTGCTGTCTAAGCCACCTGTTGAGTGCAGAGGGGCAGCCACAGAGAGTAGATCCCTGGCTAAAGGGGGCACAGAGAGATCAGGCGACACTTGAGGAGAGACTGGGGACGGAGGCTTTGGGGAGAGAATAGAGTGAGTAGCCAGTGGGATCCCAGTGTGCACTTCTCGCCCTTAGGGCAGCGTGAAAGGACGCAATAACCCCACCCCCATGAGGGACTCCGCCCCGCCCTGAGCTGTCTAAGGTGCCCTGCTGAGTGCAGAGTGAATAGATTAACAGCTGAAGGAGACAGCCAGAAACAGTAGATTACCAGAAGTTTCGATCAGACTGCCTAAGGTCAGACAGGGTCAACATCTGACATCATCAGAAGCAGATCCAGAAAGTAAAAACAGTGGTCTCCAACCATAGAAGTTCACACCACAAAGTCAGGAAATCAAGACAGATTAACTTAAGAAGCAGAAGCAAAAGACAACAGTCTCACAAATAATGGGAAGACAAGGAAATACACCCTACTCAAAGGGAAAGGAGGAATCCCCACAAAGACAACTAAATGAAATAGAGACAAGTAAACTATCAGATATTGAGTTTAAAACAACGGTTCTAAGGAAGCTCAATGAGCTCAGTGAGCTCAGAGAGAATTACCAAAAACTACAGGGAAACTACGAGGAACTTACTGCAAACTATATCAGCATGAAAAAGGACATAGAAACGATCAAGAAGAGACAAGAGGAAATGAAGAATACAACTTCTGAGTTGAAGAACACAGTAGAAGGAATCAAAAGCAGGCTAGATGAAGCTGTGGACCGAATCAGCAAGCTGGAGGACAAGGTAGAAAAAAGCTCTGAGAAAGAGCAAGAAAATGAAAAAAAGACTCAAAAAGAATGAAGAGGCATTGAGGGAAATGCAGGACAACCTGAAACCTAATAATGTCCATATAATAGGGATACCAGAAGAAGAGGATGAGGAAGGGACAGAGAACCTGCTTGAAAAAGTAATGATGGAAAAATTCCCTAATTGATGGAGAGAAAAAGTCACACAAGTCCAGGAAGCACAGAGGGTCCCATTCAAGAGGAACCCAAAGAGGCCCACTCTAAGACACATCATCATTAAAATGGCAAATATCAAAGACAAACAGAATCCTAAAGCAAGCAAGAGAGAAAAAGGTAATAACATATAAGGGAGCCCCGATACGGCTAGCATCTGACTTCTCAACAGAAACTCTACAAGCCAGAAGGGAATGGCAAGAAATATTCCAAGTCATGAAAAGCAAAGGAGTGCAATCAAGACTGCTCTACCCAGCAAGGCTCTCGATTAAAATGGAAGGTGAAATAAGGAGTTTCCCAGACAAAAGAAGGCTAAAAGAATACACCTCCACCAAACGAGCACTGCAAAATATGCTAAAGGGACTGCTTTAAGATAAAGAAAAAGTTTCTCTGAATACCCAGTTCCTTTCAGAGTTGCCAATACTTGATATTACCAATAATTTTAATACTCATTAATCTGATTGTGACAATGATGTTATTTTAATTGTTCCTTTACTATTTGTTGAAACTAAACCTGTTTTAGTATATTTTTTGCCTATTTCTCTTTTTTTTGTTTGTTTTAAATAAAAGCTTTAAATGACTTTTGGGTATTCTTTATCCATTTATTGATTAAAGGTTTGTAGAATTATTTCCCTAAAAAAAAAACAAAAAAAACCTATTACCCATGTTTTAGATGTGTTGCAAATACTTTTCTATTCCTTGTCCTTTAACTTTTTTTATATGTATATTGCTATATGGTTAAATGTTTAATATAGTCATATTGTCAATATTTACTTTATAGCTTCTGGGGTTGAATATTTTACCTCAGGTCATGAAAAATATTAGTTCCATTTTCTTCTAAAACTCCTTAGATTCTACATACTGACTTTTAACTCACCTGAATATTTCTTGTATAATGTGTGAATAGGGCTCTATATTTGGTTTATTTCAAGTAATAATGGTCCATGCACCTTATTTGTTGAATAAGCCTTATTTTACCCATTGATTTGAAATATCAACTTAATCATACATATATTAACCAAATATATACATTTGTCTCTAGAATATTCATTATATTTCATTGATCTACTTGATTATTTCTGTGCTGGTGTCATGTTGGTTTAATTGCTGAGACTTCATCATGGTTTTAAATTTTTTTAAATATTTTATAGTTAACTTTGACATTTAAAAAAATAAATAAAATCAATCTACATTTAAGAAAGAAAAAGAGAGAGATGGAACTCCTACCTTTTGTGACAACATGGATGGAACTGGAGAATATTAAGCTAAGTGAAATAAGCCAGTTGATGAAAGAAAATTACCATATGATCTCACCTATAAGTGGAATCTAGTCAACAAAATAAACTAACGAACAAAATAAACCACAGGTACAGAAACATGGAGCAGATTGAAAGTGACCAGAGGGGAGGGGAAAGAGGACAATGGTGGAAAGAAGGGGAAGGGACTAGACAAAGAACATGTATGTATGACCCATGGACAACATAGTGGGAGTTGACTGTGGGAACAAGGGGTGAGTGTGGGATGAGTGGAGGGCGTAAAGGAGGAAAAATAGAGAAGACTGTAATAGAATAAACACGATTTATAAATAAAATAAATAAATAAACTAAAAAATATGTATTTGTAATAATATATACACATATATCAGTGATCACAGATATTAAAAAGAATTCAAGTATAGCAGGGGGTTAGATCTAATGACTCCTCTCAGGTGCAGAAATATTATGAACTTAATCTCTAGTGGTCTTCTGTTCAACCAATGGTTTACTGATTTCAGATGCCAAGAAGCTCAATCTCTCCAAACTCATTTATGGCCATCATGGGTCTCCCATTAGATCAAGTGGGAAAATACCTTTAGCCAAGCACAGATAATGAGCCTAAGTTAAGCAGAGCATACAAAGACAACCTGTTTGGGGGACATTGCAGCAAAGAACAAGCCTTGAAAATCACACTCCTTTCTCCTACCAACTCTTTTCTCTTGCCATTCCTCCCCCCTTTTCATGCATTTGCCCAAATCTAGGACTGCTCCCCCCAAGACATTATTCCTGGTACCATTCTTGGTTACATCCTCTTCCCTGAAATTCACACTGGCAGTTTGGAGAATTAGCCTTGGGCAGCCAAGTCCTTCTTCCTGGCACAGATGCCAGCTCAACTGCACACGCAGAGACACCTTTGTGCCCAAAGGGTATAAGAGACAACAGCATCCTGGACATACCAGTCTTTCGGTTCCACTAGCTGCAAAAATGAGGTCAATTCTGGTCATCTTCCTCCTCAGCTGCTTCTTTGCAGCTTATAATGCCAAAATCTTCTCCAAGTGTGAACTGGCCCGCAAGTTGAAGGCCCATGGAATGGATGGCTTCCATGGCTACAGCCTGGCAAACTGTGAGTATGAATTGCTCATCTGTCCTTTTTATCCCTGCCCAAAGAGGCCCATTTCCCCAACCCAGAAAACTCTCCCCAACTCAGCTTCCTCCCACTCCCCTGCCTGTTCTTCTTATCTCTTTCTCCTCTGCCTTGTAATTCCTACCTGGTTTTCCTTCTCTTTCATTCCACCTATTATCTTACCTATAACAGAATAAGAAATAGATTTTCTTCTGCTTCTCCCCCAAATCAGCTTCCCACCAATATTTGGAATATTTCCTTAAACATACCCAAAGACTAACTGGCATACTTCTAGTTTTGCTACCATCACATTTGCTTTCATCTGCGTTCTTTCTTGTCAATGTCTCAGGAGCACAATAGGTGCTGCCTCCTATCCTCTCCCCTGCTCTTTTGTCTGCCAAAAATTAACCCACCACTGCTAAGTTTGTCTAAGATTGTTCTACTAGTGTCACAAGGGAGTTAGATGGGAATTGTGAGAACAGGTGATGAGGCAGTGACAAAGGTGCAAGAACTGAGAGTCACCCATCACATTGCTGGCACAAATGAAACTATTTCAACTTATCTTGAATATCTTCATTTTTCTCCATGCCAAACCTTCTCTTTTTTATTATCCCCAAGAATACTTTTTCTGAAATTCCTTCCTGGGATTCTCCTCCACTACCACTCCACTCTCTTGCATATACCTTAGGGTATAGAGCAAAAGTGCATATACATGGCAAGAATTGGATATTTGGCTGGAAGATGAGACTGGAAAGGTTAGACTAGGGAACAGACTGTGACTGATTGATGATTGGGCATTCCTAATGCACTTATTTAACATGGGCAAATTATTGTTTAAGCCAACTTCTGGCCAAGATGGAAGCCTAGGTAGGTACACTTTGCCTCCTCGCACAACCAAAAGGACAACAAAAAATTTGAAAACAAAAACAACCAGAACTGCCAGAAATTAGAACTGTATGGAAGTCTGACAACCAAGGAGTTAAAAGAAGAAACATTCATCCAGACTGGTAGGAGGGGTAGCAGACAGGCAGCCAGGGCAGAGAGGATATGTGGCAAGGCAGTGGCTGGAAGACTAGGCGGTCCCACATTTGCATGTGGATAAACAGGGAGGAACAACTAGGGAGCAAGGCAGACCACGCAACCCAGGGTTATAGCATGGGAAAAGAAAGCCTAAAAACCTCTGGCTGTAAAAACCTGTGGAGGATGAAGAGGCGGTAGAAACTCCCAGCTCCACAGGCGAGTTCGTTGTAGAGACCCACAGGGTCCTAGAATGTACACAATCCCACCCACCTAAGAATCAGCACCAGAAGGGCCCAATTTGCTTGTGGGTAGCAGGGGAAGTGACTGAAAGCTGGCAGAGAGCCCAGCAATGGCATAGTTCCTCTCTGACCCCTCCCCTACATACAGCACCACAATGCAGCAAAGTGGGTTGCCCCGCCCTGGTGAATACTTAAGGTTCGACGCCTCACAACTTAACAACTGTGCCAAGACAAAGAAATATGGCCCAAATGAAAGAAGAGATCAAAACTCCAGAAAAAGAACTAAACGACAAAGAGATAGCCAACCTATCAGACACAGAGTTCAAAACGCTGGTAATCAGGATGCTCACAGAAATGGTTGAGTATGGTCACAAAATGGAGGAAAAAGTGAAGACCATGCAAAGTGAAATAAAGACAAGTATACAGGGAACCAACAGTGAAGGGAAGGAAACCAGGACTCAAACCGATGATTTGGAGCAGAAGGAAGAAATAAACATTCAACCAGAACAGAATGAAGAAACAATTCAAAAAAATGAGGAGAGACTTAGGAACCTCCAGGACAACTTTAAACTTGCCAACATCCAAATCATAGGGGTACCAGAAGGAGGAGAGGAAGAGCAAGAAATTGAAAACTTATTTTCAATTTCTTCCCCAATCTGGTCAAGGAAATAGACTTCCAGGAAGTCCAGGAAGCTCAGAGAGTCCCAAAGAAGTTGGATACAAGGAAACACACACCAGGGCACATCATACATTACCCAAGATTAAAGATAAGGAGAGAATCTTAAAAGCAGCAAGAGAAAAAGAGACAGTTACCTACAAAGGAGTTCCCATAAGACTATAAGCTGATTTCTCAAAAGAAACCTTTCAGGCAAGAAGGGGCTGGAAAAATGTATTCAAGATCATGAAAGGCAAGGACTTACATCCAAGATTACTCTATGCAGCAAAGCTATCATTTAGAATGAAGCGGCAAATAAAGTACAGAGTGCGTCCCAGAGAAAGTAAAGTTAAAGGAGTTCATCATCACTGAGCCTTTATTATATGAAACGTTAAAGGGACTTATCTAAAAAAAAAGAAGATCAAAAACTATGAACAGTAAAATGACAACAAACTCACAACTATCAACAACTGAACCTAAAAAAAAAGAGAGAAAAAAAGCAAACAACTAGAACAGGAACAGAATCACAGATATGGAGATCACACGGAAGGTTATCAGTGGGGAGGGGGCGGGGGGGGGAGAACGGGGGAAAAGATACAGGAACAAGAAACATAAATGGTAGCAACAACACGGACAGGGAGAGATTAAGATTAGTAAAGGAAATGGAGAAACCAAAGAACTCATATGTATGACCCACAGACATAAGGGGGCTGGGGGAATGCTGGTAGGATGGGGGTATAGGGCAGTGGAGAATAAAGGGGAGAAAAAAATGGGACAACTGTAGTAGCATAATCAATAAAATATACTTAAAATAATTATTGCTTAAGCATGAGAATACATCTGGATTATAAATGACCTCTAACATTAAGGATCTTATGGTCTTTGCATTTCAGTCTTAATGGGCTTTCATTTCTGGTAGTTCTGGTACAGCACAAGTTGAATCCCATTATGGAGCATGCTCCTTTTTTATACACACTTTTTGCTCTCTCTGACACAGGGGTCTGCATGGCTGAGCATGAGAGTAACTTCAACACCCTGGCCTTTAATGGAAATAATGACAATGGCAGTAGTGATTATGGGCTCTTCCAGCTGAACAACAAGTGGTGGTGCAAAGACAAAAAGTATCCCTCAGCAAATGCCTGCAAGAAAATGTGCAACAGTAAGGACGCTATCCCCTCTGGGAGGTGGGTGGAGTAGGGGCTGGTAAAATGGGTGCCAAACTGAATGCACTACTCCCTACGCTGGCCCATTGGCCTGTGCTGGGGGGAATGACCATACAGAAGAAAAGGGCCCTATGCAGACCTCACACTAAAACAGGACCCCACAGAGATCTTCCTGCCAAAAAGGAGGGAGAGAGAGACACTGACCCTTGCCTTGACTAAGCCTCCTGTCATGGGCCCCCATCTCTCAAGATATATTATCCTGTTTCTGACATGGGCACCAATGCATCACCATTCCACAAACCCACACACAGCACTCAGGACACGCTACCCAGTTGCCTGAAACAAAGGCTCTCCCTAGTCCTTCAAGTCCTGGATGCCATCTGGAGGGAAGAGGGCTCAAAGACAGATTCTTAGCAAAGGCACCAAAATCCAGCAAAATGAAAGGCAAACCCATTGAGGGGCTCCAGAGATAAAGGGCTTCTGAATCTCCAAGCTGCTTGCTTCCTCTGCGAACTCCAGTGGAAACAATGACTGATTATTAAAACAGGAAAAGGGATTTTTCCCTCCCGACTTACCACTTTTCCTTTCAGAATTTCTGGATGATATCATCGATGATGACATTGCCTGTGTCAAGAGGGTTGTGCAAGATCCTAAAGGGATGTCTGCTTGGTAAGGGGAAGACAAAGGGCAGAGACCAGCCACTCTGCCAGGGATGGGCCCAGACTATATCTGGGTTGCTGGTGTTATAAGCAGCATCTTTGCTGTTGGATTTTCCCAGGACTTTGTAAGGAGACTGTTCTCCTGATGTAAAATGAGGCAGAATAATATTGTGATGTTTTCACCACCAGCATGACTGCAGCTCCCACCCACGTGTCTTGGGTGGGCAAGCCTTCCCTCTCTGGGACTCTCCCACAGCATAAATGGACTCCAGCCCACGGGCCCTGCATTCCCTCTCAACTGAGCCCTTACAGACTTCTGACTCTGCCTCTGATCTGTTTTATTTCCTTATCCTTAGGGTGGCCTGGGTAAATCACTGTAAAAACAAGGATTTGTCCAAATACCTGGCCAGCTGTGACCTGTGAGATTGTCCTTGAACATGGATCCTGAAGAAGGTAGCCCAGAAGGCAGGGCAATGCTTTAAGGTCCTTGGAAGTTCTGAATGTTCCCCCATCTCTGCTTCCAAAATAAAAATTACTCAAATTCAGCTGTCTCGAATAGCATGTTTAAGGGCTAGATTATGATAGAGACTTGCTGCATGATATAGACAGCTGGAAGTCCTGTTCTCCCCAAACGTACCACTGAAGTTTCCCTTATCTCCCCTGAAAAGTTACTTTAAGGAAAATCCTTGCCTGAGAACTTCTCAGGGTTACCCAGTCTAAGCTAGAACTGACAGCTAAATATAGCATTCCAGATGCCAGCTCTTATGAAATTCACTTAATAGAGTTGGCTAATATTATTCTCCTTCACCATAAAGGAAAGTTCAAGATAAAACAGAAGAAAATTGCGGGAGAGATTTGGTTTAGACATGGGCAAGAATTGGCAGAATATCATGATGATTGTGTTGGCTAAGATAAATGACGAAGCTACTTAACAGAGCCCCCAAAATATGGTGCTCCCACAAATTAGTCCAAGATGGGTAGTAAGGCTCTCTTGCTCCACACATTCAGACACCCAGATTCCTTTCATCTTGCATCTCAAAGTATGGTCCATGGGGCTAGCAGCATCAGCATGACTTGGGAGCAGGTTACTTTCCTCCTTGTAGGATTTAGGGCAGTTTGTTTCCTACTCATTCAAGAATTAGCAAAATCCAGTCTCCTGCCGTATAGGACACCTTACTTAGCAACTAGAAACCTCTCCCTGGACTCCATATATAGTTCGCCCATCTCAGAACCACCATCAAATCCTTCTCACACTGTTGTTTTTCTCTGATCACAGCTGAGAAAGGTTCTCCACTTTGAAGGGTTTGAGATTATACTGGGCCCACTGGAGTAATTCAAGGTACTTTCCCCATTCCAAGCCCTTAACCATAATCAGGTCTATACAGTCCCATTTGCCAAGTAAGGTAACATTCACAGGACCCAGGGATTAGGATATGCACATCTTGGGAGAACTATCCCCTTTACCACAGGTGCAGCTTGGGACTACACTGCTCAACTGTAGCTGGGCATGTGCAGGAACGCTGGCCTGAGAGGGGTATGATTACCAAAGGCTCAGGACTCCTCAGGAATGAGTTAGGATCACACCACCAAGCAAGCTCCCAAGACCTACCAACATGATAACCAAGGATGAAGGGAATTCAGAAGGTTTAGTGAAGGGAGGTGACTGCAAGTTGTGGCCCCAAGATTAACTGCAGCAATGAACGTTGTAATTCATCCCCCTAAGCTATTTTCCTTCTAAGAGGCCCCTCAAGAATTGTGAATGTGCATGGAAATTAACCTGTCTGGCACAAGATAAAATGTAGTGGGCACTGGAATGTGCCACCCAAATCTCAAGGGTGTGTACTGCACCCTTAGAGGGGAGGAGCAGTTGACAGCCTCCAGCTCCTTTTTATCTACAAGGTTTTCACTTCCCTTAGGCTGCTATGGTGACTGAAAAGGAGCACTAGGCCATTTCTGTTAAGAGGGACACTTCTCATAGGGATTCCAGTAAGCAGACTTTCTCAGATACAATGCAGTCTGAGGCTTTCTACCAAATGTTTTTCTTGTGCCTAAAAGAAGCCAAGACCTTGGAGAAGTGGCAGTTGTATGTAGCCTTCTCAAAACCACTGCTGCTGGGTTTGCAAGAGTAACCATCAAAGTTTCTGGGGTGCTGCCCTAGCCAGGTGGCTTAGTTGGTTGAAGCAACATCCCATACACCAAAAGGTTTGGTCCCCAGTTTGGCCACATACCAGAGGCAACAGATCAATGTTCCTCTCACAAAAATATTTTTCTCCCTTCCTCTCTAAAAATTAATAAACATATCCTCAGGGGAGCATTAAAAATTTTTTGTTTCTGGGGTGCTAACTCCCTGGCCTCCACATCCCTTCCCCTATCCCAGAAAAGTGCTCATAGGCCTGCTGACTTACAGAACAATCATCTTGAATGATGGGTGGGTGCTACTGGTTTGTTGGTCACTTAGAGCTGCACAAATGTTTCTCTTATGTATAAAGTATAAAAAGTACTAGACAAGGAAGCATTAGAAACCAAATTGAAAATTGCCAAGACCTACGCAAGACCTCAGGAATTCATCCGATAGGCCTTTTAAGAGTTACTTTCAACCATTCCATGAATAAACATTCAAACTTAAGCTAAAGTGATGGTGTAAGTTAGCCATTTTCAACCAGTATGCCCCAAGAATTTCCAAAATATGCAGTACTTATTTATTCTGGGGCACTGATTTTTTCCCTTAGATTGTCAAAAAAATGACAACTGCCAGCACAATAGCTGAGCAGTGACTCAAAATTATATCTTTTTGCTTTGGGGTTTTTCTTTTTTTGGTTAGACCTGCCAAAAATATATTTCTTGGTGTGCCGCAGAGTTTTAGTCATCAGTTTATGTCATGAGATGAAAAAGGTTGAAAACCATTGGTTTAACTGTATATAAACTTATCTGTTCCTCAGTTTGGTTCTTATATTTTTTGGCCTCCTTTACATAATGCATCATAATAGACAACTTCTGGCATTGGTAACTTAACCCTAACTGAATTTCTAATTTAATTCTACCATTATATTCATCAAAATGATCTTGACAATCTATGTCTATCTCTGTGATCTAGCATCAGACCCAATTTCTCTGGGAGTTTTATTTTTGTTTTTATATATATACATTCCCAGCCTTAGAGAATTTTTAAATGATAATCAGGCACTGCAAGATAGACCTGGGAATGGGAATAGGAGTAGGGGGCACAGAGGAGAGTTAAAAGGAAGATATTTGGAACTCGCAGGCTGTAATAAGGGGGTCCCACCCTTTTCCATTTACTTCAAACAGGTCTTTATCTTATCCTGCAAACCAAAACCAAAGTTAGTTACTGAAAATGTATTTACTTCTTGGGATGGAAGTATATCTTGCCCCATTTTCCCTTTCCCATCAGAAACAGCCCCTTAAGGATCCCCCAAATACAAACCATACATTCAATTGTTTTATATTCTCATAACATTTTAACATTTAATAGAAACTATATACAATAACTTTTTGTTATTTTACATAAAATAGTCACTACAGAAATTTACATAGGTTAGAAGGAAGATGGACAGTTAAGGAGGGCCTACTCCTGTGAGCTATTTTCTGGGGGGGGTGGGGGGGGTGTCAGATTACCCAATTAGGTGAGGTGAGAAAAGGCTAAAACATAGGCTGATAGCAATAACCAGATACTGGGTCCATCAATATTCCAAGAATACATAGCTCCCACCTAAACACCTATCTAGATTTATTCCAAGACTTGGGAAATCCTCTTACAAAGATGGCTCTCCCTGTAGCCAGAGTCCCGAATATTTACTCAATCTCAGCAGCTTTGACAGGATTCACCTGTCTCTCTCTTCCTTGCCCAGAGTGGGAAGACACCCACAACTTTTAGACTCTGTTGGTCTCTTCCCCCAAATTTGGTGTTATGTTTTACTACAGCACTCAATAACCCAGAAGAAAAACAAACTAGTCTGGGTTGTCCTTTAGAGAGAGATGGTCAGAAATACTTATTTAAAGAATGAGAATTTTAAATCCTCCAAAGTCAAATGGTTCCCAAAACAAACTATCAACTGATAGAAGTGTGTTCTGGCTTCCCATTTGCAGTAGCCACTCCACTTTGAAGCAATGGTGCAGAGGCTTTCTCAGAATTTCGAGGTCCCTGTAATCTGCACCCATCTCCAGCCATCTGCATCTGACCCTGTTAAAAGAAAGTCACTTTGGTTACAAATTCATTTGTTGTGGTCTGAAGCATGAATCTGATTTATCGATGCCCGTGTATATCACAGCAACAAGAACAAGTTCAGTAGAAATAAAATAACTCTGGCAGTTGTTCTTCCCTATACTTAACTGTCCCTGACTCCTGAAGTCAGAAGTCATTACTTGAAGCATTCCTGAAGCTCTCCCAATGGGAGGGAGAGCTGTGGGTTGTTTCTTCCCAATGAAAACAGCCATTCTGTGCTGAGTTTCCAGAACAACCAAGAGATCACTGGAAGATAGTCTTTTGGGCCTCTGCTTGAAACCAACAGCCATAGTATAACTGCTGGTCTTCAGTCAGGGCCATTCAAATCCCGCCTAAGGCTCAGGGAAACCAAATCACATTACTTATCCTTACCCTACGATTCAAATAATTCCAGTGCTGAATTCTCCCTCTTCTAGAGAACAATTTACCTAGATTCCTTATCTAGTTAACTAAATAAATTTGTGTCCCACTCTTTGAGGTATGAGAACCAAGGGTTCTCTCTGGTGACCTGCCATCTGGGCCACCTTTACAGTGTGTGACAACCCCACTCACTCCCTTTGAGTACACGCTAGCACAGCCAACAGGGAACCTTCTGCCTGGCTGCATGACTACATAAGGAAGCCTGGCTGGGGTTGTTCTTCACTTGCCAAAATATCCACTGGGACTTCAGCAGTATCTTTAACTGAATGATCTTCAAGCGTTAGTGAAGGATCAAAAAGCAAGGGTGAAGGAGGACACTGCATACTGTCACCCACAACATCCAAGTCCTAGGAAAAGAAAGAGAAAAGCTTATCAGTAATACCAAAGGAACCAATAAGCTAAAGTTGGCATGTGTTTCAGCACACAACAAAGCAATTTTCCCATACTTCCCTTACCCCTTGTCTATCCTGAATCAAAAAAAGACTTTCCTATAATGTCTAAAAAATAGGGTAAGATCCAGAACACTAAGAATTTTTTCTTGCTGCCACGTATAAAGCAAACCACTACAGTAGCTTTAAAAAGCATATTTTTTCAATCAGCAAAATTGCAAATTAAACTGAAATATTATTGCCTTAAAATACTGGACAACACAAAGATTGCTTGATTAATGCCCTAACAGCCACAAAGCAAGCTAGCGAGCAAAAGAGGGAAAGGGAGAGAAGAGAGAAATGAGGAAGGACAAAACACTCAACTCCTCTTAATG